TCTTCTGCCTATTTTTTGACTGGATTTTTTCTTTGTTTTTGTTGAGTCTCATCAGCTCTTTGTAGATTTTTGTGATCAGTCCTGTATCATTAGTGTTGTGTGCAAAAATGTTCTCCCAGTTGGTGGGGTTTCTCATTGTTTTGGTTATTGTCTCTTTTGCTGTGCAGAAGCTCTTTAGTTTGATATAGTCCCAGCTGTTTATCTTTGCCTTCACTATCACTGCTTCAGGTGATGTGTCTATAAAGATGTCTTTGAGGTGCATGTCATGTAGTGTTTCGCTTATGTTTCCTTCTATATATTTTATGGTTTCGGGTCTTATGTCTAGTTCTTTAATCCATTTTGAGTTGTTTTTTGTGCATGGTTTGAGGTAGTAGTCAAGCTCCATTCTTTTGCATGTAGTGACCCAGTTTTCCCAGAACCATTTATTGAACAAGCTTTCTTTGCTCCAGTGCATATTTTTTGCTCCTTTGTCAAAGATTAGTTGACCATAACTCTGTGGGTTTATTTCTGGATTTTCTATTTACTTCCACTGGTCCATGTGTCTGTTCTTGTTACAATACCATGCAGTTTTGATGATTATGATTATGGCTTTGTAGTATAGTTTGAAGTCTGGGACTGTGATGCCTCCATTCACTTCTTTTTTTTTCAGGAGAGCTTTGGCTATTTGGGGTTTTTGGTGATTCCATATGAATTTCATCAATAATTGTTCTATTTCTTTAAAGAATGTCATTGAAATTTTTATTGGAATAGCATTGAATCTGTAAATTGCTTTTAGTAGGATGGCCATTTTGATATTGATCCATGAGCAGGGGATGTCTTTCCATTTCTTTGTGTCTTCTTCTATTTCTTTTAACAGTGTTTTATAGTTTTCTTTGTATAGGTCTTTTACCTCTTTTGTTAGGTTTATTCCCAAGTAATAAATAAATAAATCTTTAAAAAAAAAGACTTGTCATTACAGTGGTCCTTTCCCCACATTATCCAAAATAATCTCCTTTTTGAAAAGATCCTTACTCATACCTGCAAAGACCCTTTTGCCAGGAAGGAGTAAGTATGGGAAAGGGAATAACACAGGTTCCTCGCAAGTTCTGGGTACTGGGGCAAGGACATCTTTTTGTTTGAAGTGCGGGGGTGTTGTGAGTATTATTTATGAGCTCTCAGAGCACACTAAAGACTTATGGATAAAGTCTTCATGGTCCCAATGGATTTAAAGTCATGCCAGAAGTAGACAGGAAGAGCAAGAAAGGGAGAACAGCCCTATGTGCTTTTTGTTGTTGTTGTTAAAGATTTGTTTTATTTATACAAGAACCAGGGTACAGGCCAGATGCATAGGAGGGTGAGAGGATTCATCAGGGACAGAGCGGAGAACACAACAGGCAGACTGACAAAATACACTGCTGAGGGGTGCATCAGGCGAGATAAGAAAGGTCTGCTGCGCCATGTGGGTTGCTCTGCGGCCAGCAGGGATCAAACCGGCACTGCAGAGGCTGCGGACAGCTTCACTTCGCTGCGCTCAACCGTCTGCACCACCAGAGAGGCCCCAGCCCTAGGCACTTTAACAAAAGCAGGCCCAGAGCATCCATAGCAGCCTAGGCAGAAGAAGGGCCACTCTGTCAGACACTAGAGGAGATGGCCTTGGGCAGAGTCCAGGAAGATGAGTAGAAGTAAACAAAGTGAAGAAAGAGAAAATTATTGACCTGAGAGGAGGCTCTGAGGCTGAATCAAGACAGGCATGTGGCACACCTCAGCAGACGCACGCCCTAGGGAAGGTCAAGAGGGCCCTGACTGAGAGCTTAGACTCTCCTCTGTGGCCCCACCTTGCCCATCTGCCCCCAGACACACAAAACAAAACATAGCTACCTTAGAGGGTTTAGGGGAGAGTCCTGATAACTCACTTTCTCCCTCTCACCACAATTCAATGACACAGCCAAGCCCCTGGGACATGGGCGCCCTATATTCCTGCCTGATTCCCCATGTCAATCTGCTCTGAGTGCAGGGAGCTGTTCTGTTAGCTGGGCAGACAGTGTCTGTGGGACCTGAAGATACCTCAGCTGATGAGGAGATGTAGCCACATGAACTATAGGGATCCAAGAACTTAAAAATCACCGGAGCTGGAGAGTATGTGAGGACTTTCAGAGGGAACGCACTTCTTAAAGGGGTCCTGGCCAGAAGCTGGGACACTTCAGTTGTGAATGTCTAAAGAGAGTGCCCCCAGGGCCAGGCCCTCTGTGACATGGCCCAGAACATTGGAAGAAAGTTCTTTCTGTCACTCTCCGGAGAGGGAGGGAGCCAGCCCAAACCACAAGCCAGATGGGAAAGCAGCATGACCATCAGCTGCCTCTCACTATGGTCATTGACTCTAAAGAACCTGGTACAAGAGGAGAAGACCTCCTTTGCCTAAGGGCCCAGCAGTGAGACAGGCTTCCCTATTTACCATCTCTGTGGATGAACCTTGGCTAACCCTAGAAGGAGCAGTTAGGAGATCAATTTCTTAGTGGATATGGGAGCCACCTGCTCTGCATACTCCAATTCTCTGGACTAACCTCCAGGTCGATTGGCTTCCTCACTGGTGTTGGTAGCCAACCTAAGCCAGGATGCTTTACAGCATTGCTTCCCTCTCACTACAAGACTACATATTTACACATTCATTTTTGGTCCTTCCCTTCCTGTCCCATTTCTTTGTTAGGATGGGTCATTGTGATGAAACCCCAAACTAGGCTTTAAGTAGCAGAGCCTCTGCAGCCACTCCTGTCCCTGTTAGTTGCCACTGCAGACAATAAGATTAGTGTGGGCACACAGAATTCACTAATTCCCCCATTTTGGCTACTGCACCTTTAAAAATGGGACTCTACATTCCCTACAGAGCATTCTTTGCCATCCCTGTTAGTATGCAATTAAAAGAGCTTCATAGCTTTCCTAGGAAGCCATAATACCCCCTCAAGCCAGAGACTTGAAAGGGACTACAACCTCTTATACAAAATTCCTTCAGTCAAGTCCTTTTTGTTTAGTATCATTCTTAACCTTTTTGTTTAGTATCATTTCATTTATAGACCACAAAACTACAGCTTCTGATCATGGGTTATCAGCCATGAAATATCAAGACCTAGAGGTACAAACATCTGCAGAATACATGGACCTGGGCTTTCAGCAGTCCAATTTGGGTGCCATTAACTGGTACCACCCTTAATCTCTGAGAACAACACATAACAGCTAAAACCAACCCCAGCCTAAAATCCCAAGCATGACTATCTTGTTCCCTTTTGCACCCCATTCTCCACTTTCCCAAGATGACAATAATCTTGGTAGCACCATCTCTATTCCCCAAAATTCAGCTCAAAGCAGCTACAGAAGTCAGACCTTTGTCTCATTTTCAAAGATTTGTCATTGTCTTCTTGACTCATTACCTAGCAAGCATGTTTGGGAGACTTGAATAGATAAGTGCAATTGCTAAGGCTGCCATGGGAACCTGACCATAAGACTGAGCACCTTGACCAGGACCTGCAGAGCTTCAGGAATGCTGAAGGAGAGTGATGACAATGGTCAATGTGTCAACGGTCGATGCCCAAGACCAGACATCCCAGAAGATAACTAACACAATCTGGCACCCCAAGAGAGTATAAAAGAGAGTCTCAAGTCATTCTTTGGGCACAGACTATATCTCCCTTCTGGGCCCCTGATCCCTTCAGGTACTCTACCTTTTCTGTTCACTGTTTCTGGTGAATTCCTTCACCCCTGCACCCCTGGCCTATGCCCCGACTTTCCCACAATGGAAAGCAGTTCCAATTTTCTCAGTGTGTCCATCAATCTGCTATGACAGTTTGGCAGTCAGATAACATCCCCCAGCAGAACAATGGCTTTAGGCACAATAGGCAAACCCCAGCATACTCAAAGCCATATGTTCTCACCAAGGTTGACCTGGAAGACTTTCTGACCATTACCTTCCCTCCCACTTTCAATCTCAATATCTGAAATGACTCTCAATGGGATGTGGAAAGCCTGCTAGCAGGAAGAACAGGCCTCCTTTCATGAGATAAATGTGCTAGAAAAGTACAACCATAAAAGCATGTCTCTTAACAGCAAATCCACTGGCCCACGTTACCCATGAAGAAGACAAGGCAGAAGGGACACCTGAAATAATGAGTAAGGAGTGTGTGAATCTCAGTGGCCAACTTGGGTTCCAAGGGACAGGATGGGTTACCCCACAGAGCCAATGTCGGGAGAGTGACAATAATGAGCTGTTTGAGGAGTTAAAGATTAAAGTAGGACTTTCCAAGAAAGTTCCAGGAACCAGGTAGGAATAGAATCTGGTCTCAAAATAGAAATCTAGAACAAAGGAAGATATATCTAGTGTCACCTCGAGGGAAGCATTGACCATGGCCAATTTCTTGTTAACTTTGAGTGTAGAAAGGGTTCTTAATTCAGAGCTCATACCATGGGTATGATTTGAGGATCTAGAATTCCCCCTAAGGTTATATGCAACATTTGATATAAATATTGCTGAATATTATTGAGACAGATTTCAAAATGAGGTGCCATGGAAGAATGTAAAATTTCTCAGAGTAGGTGAAGACACATAAACAGAAGAAAAGTCAGAGGAAAGCTCTAGGCGTCAGGGCGGATGTGTTGTTCACCAAGCTCACCCATTCATGCTCCACCGCCCAGGTTCCAGCATCCCCATGTCTCCAGTGCTTCCTGCCCCGCTAGACCTCCCACAGACCAGTTGAGTTCAGAATAGCAGACAGAGGTCCTTGGCCTGAATTCTACTCAGATAATGCCAGGCCAGTGGGAGGGGTGTGCTGCTGAGAGAACAGCCCCCCAAAAGAGAAGAATTGGGTGTTTTCCTGCCTGCATGTGTGTGGGATACTATATAAATGAAAAGTACGAGAGGAAGAGCTTGCCAACCATTGTAAAGTCTCCCCTGCCCTTCTCTCAGGTTCAGCAGCAGAAAAAGGAGGAGGAAGAGAGCTGTGGGTGTCCACCACTGTGCTTAAATTTGGTGAGACTAGAAAGGGCCAATGGGATCTGACCAGCCCCCAGGCAGGCACAGAGGGGTTCTTCTTATTTGTTCCTGACTGAGGGATGATGACCAGATTCCAAAAGGCCTCACGGCTCCTGCTGGCCATTCTGGTAGCCTTGGTGACCATCACCTACCAAACAAGGAAGAAAACCTTTATAAGTGTCCGAGAAATTTCTATGTCAGAACCATATGTGTTCTCCACCATGCAGTTCGTGACCAGCCAGTTCAACAAGGAAAGTGATGACAAGTACAACTTCCGGATTGTGCGGGTCTTGAAGATCCTGAGGAAGGTTAGTGTGAGCTCCTCCTGTCTCCTCACCATGCCCCTTTGCCAGGGGCCACTGGCACTCTGGGGTAAGTCCATTCAGGTGAAATTCAGTCTTATTTAGCTTGAAGTGGGCATTTTAAGAAAAATATAAATTCAGCGGAGTAGATGAATTTATGTCACCTAAATGACAATCAGGCCAGGGCTTGGCACTTTGCAGCCCAAAGGCTCAACCTGCCTGTGCCTACATTTGTAAGCATTTGTTGGAGCCCTGCCACCCGCCGTGTGTACTCCTCATCTAGGGCAGCTTTGGGGCTCCAGGGGCAGAATGGAGTGATGGCAATTGAAGTCACATGCCCCTCAAAGTCTAAAATGTTTACATCTGGGCCCTTCACAGACAAAGCTTACAGACCCTTTCCCCAAAACAATTAACATGGTTTGAGTTGTCTGAGGGGTGGCTTTGTCCACAGAGCGATTTTGGTTAGTTTTCAAATGACACGAGGAGTCAGATAGAAACAGGGAAAGGGAGTCAGATAGAAACAGGGAACAGTCTGTCCTGGATTAGACCTTGACCTTGAGCACCACATAAAGAAATACCAGAAGTAACTACAAAGGGGGAAGCTGTCTTTTATCTCCTTGCCACTTGCTTCCACAGGTTACTGATCACCTGGAGTATCACATGAACTTGGAGATGCGGCGGACCACCTGTCAAAGGCTGGAGGCTATTAACTGTACCTTTCAGAAAGGGGAGCTTTATAAGGTAGAGGGTGAAAACACATTGACTCAGAAAGAACTCATTTTTCAGTGGGTTTTTTCTGTGGTTTAGGATGAGGTAAGATAGCATCCTTGGGGAGATATCCAAGCTTGTTTGGAAAGGTGTATGAATAATACCTTCCTTCTCAAAGAGGAAAAGTGAGGGTTCTAACTAGCAGGTTTGTCCATTGCTGCTGGAGGATACAGAGGAAGGAGCTGAGGTGGCTGAACTTTAGGGAATGGGGGAGGTTGCTAATTTTAATATTTTTACTGCCAGTGCAACTTCCTGATGCATCCTGCTGAATTTCTGAACATCAATCAGCCTGAAAGAGCATACAGTCACTGGGCTATTGGCCTCTGTTCCTTTCATCAGTGTTTGGGCAAAGAGAAAAAGAAGATGAGAAAATGAGTTCAGAAATAGCTCAATAGCACAGTCAGAGTGGATGCAGGGGGTGAGGGGGACAAACCTGAATGCTTGTGATCCACTGAGGAGTACCCCCCCCCACAACAGTAGCTTAGTCCCCTACAAGCTTCATTTTCACCCGGTGTTGTCCCTTCCCAGGGAGGCCGGCCAGACCATTCTCACTGCAGTGTGCATAGTCATGTTGGACCTTGAAAGTCTCAAATCTGCAGCTCAGTTCCCCTCACCCAAGAGAGTCAAAATGAGAATGATCATACATCCTGCCTTGCCCAGAACAGTTCTCATTTACACGTAGACTCTGATTGGAATCATTAATAGCATCCTCATTTATTTACAGTGTGTCCCAGTTTCATTCGTAAATTATATGATCACCTTAGTTACAAGGGTCTGGGTCTGGGTATTCTCAGTGTAGAAATGTGTCCATCCACGGTCTCCCTACTCACTTTCAACAGGATAACGCTTCAAAATCTAGCAAGGCAGCCTCTTTTGGTTCTTCCCTGGAAAGAATCATGAATTCTGTGAGAAGAATAATTGAAAATAATAACAAAGTAAAATCAGAGGAAATGACTGGTGTGAGAGGTTGAATTGGTGGAATTTTTATTCTAATTTCTATTTTAAGAGAAATGTAAATGTTTCTGAACTGCCCTACCCTTTCAAAGGAAGAGCAGGGAAGTAATGTCACACTAAGAAATGATGGCAATAGTGCGTGAAATATGTAAATTGATTTTTCACTATGGGAGAAGACAGAAAGGAAAAGGAAAAGGAAATCTTGTGAAAGAATGGGAACAAAGGAAGGAGAAAGAAGAGATTGGTGGGTGGACACACAAAAGAAGAAAGGACAGAAGGGAGGAAAGGTGAATGAATTGAGTGGAAAGAAGTTGAAGGAAGGATGATGAATGGATGAAAATGTGTGAGTGGAAGGAAGAAAGGAAAGGAGGGAGAGAGAGAAAAAAGGGAGGGAAAGGAAGGAAGAAGGAAGGAAAGATGGGACCAGCAGAGGCCAAGCAAGGGAAAGTATGAAGCAAAGAATACATTAGTAGCAGACGGTGTCACTTACATGTGAACTACAGAACAACCAGACAAAGGGACAAACAGGACAAACTTTATTTTTTGTAAGATTTATTTATTTATGCATACAAGAACTGGGGTACAGGCCAGAGGCGCAAGGGGTGAGAGGATTCACTAGAGACAGAATGGGGAACAGAGCAGGCAGACAGACCAAAAGCACTGCTAAGGGGAGCAGCGGGCGAGTCGGGAGAGATCTGCTGTGCCTTGTGGGTCACCTCCCTGGCCGGGGATCGAACTCGTGCTGCAGTGGCTGTGGACAGCTTCATAGATTGTGTCTTAATCCCTTGCGCCACCAGGGAGACCCAACAAGGACAAACTTTAAGATCAATCTTTGAAAATTGACCATAATTCTGAGGCATCCAAAAGAGAGGACGGAAGCGGGAGGGAACGAGGGAAAGATGAAAATGGGGGTGGGGTGGGGGTGGGAATGGGAGTTTTGGTAGTGGGAGAGCTACAGTGGCTACACCTGAGGGGAGAAATCCCACATTATCAAAAGAGTAACAAAGATGTGGAATAATGGACCTTCATTAGTAAATAAAATAAAATAAAATTATGCATAGCACAAAAAACACATTAGTAAAAATTAAGGGAAAAAAAAGCAATAGTTCCCATGGAATATAAGGGTGGGTGGACATTTCTCCAATTCTAACAACCAAGAGAAGAACATTTTCTGGGATGATTTCAGTAATACTATCAAGTGATTGAAGTCAAAATAAAATTCAAACCATGCCCAGATGGGAGGCATACTGGGGTATAATTTTCCCATCTAAGTGTCTTAATATCTATCCACTTCTCTTCCCTGTTCCTATGCATATTGATTTTTTTAATAATATTTTTGTTTTTTAGCAACTCAACTGCCACTTCTCAGTGTATGCTATTCCCTGGTTTGAAAAATACAAAATTCTGAACAAAACCTGCAAAGATGGCTAGGTGTCCTGCCGTGCACACCTGTGGTCGTGGTATAAGAAATTGTCCTGCGATTGAACAGTCATTCTCAATATAGAAAATAAATGTTTGTCAACCTATTCTCATAAAGTTTACAATTCCATTCTTTTCCAAAACTTTCAGCTTATTAGAATTTGAAGGTCCTCTGAACCAAACAACTGATAAGGTGATAGGAATAAATAATCCCGGGGCTGTAACTCATGCACATATGATAACAGAATATCAACCCCACACTCTCATCAAGTAGAAGTTCTTTAGATTTTAAAATAAGAAAGGAAAGAGAAGTAGGAATTTTCTTTTATTTTTTATTTCAACGTTTATCATTTTTAAAAATTTTTAAAATAATATTTGCTTCCCCTACCCCCTCAGATTGAGTCCCCATAGAATCTCCTTCCCCAAGGCACACATGCACCATCACCACAGTCCCATGTGCTCCTCCCTCCTTCCCATCTCTCTCCCTCCTCCTCCCCTGCAGCATGTCTCTGGTTTATAATTGTCTGGTTTTGCTTTGTTGTGTTTTGTAATGTTACTATTTTTTCACACTGATGTCTTACTTGGTTCCCCTATATTCCTGTTATAAGTGAAATCATCCGATATTTTTCTTTTTCAAGAAGGAAAAATTTTAAGAGACAAGAGTCTTTGTTACTGATAACGGCTGGATTGGGAAATGTGCCTTATTTTTGCAGGCAAGTGCACTTCCTAACACCAAAATCTAGAATTAGACTTAATTCTATTGCACCAGAGCAGGTCTCTTTGCAATTCTATTGGATCAGAGCATGTCTCTTTGCAATTCCTTTCCTGAATTTGCCAAGGAAAATATGTGCCCCCTGTGGGAAGGAGGAGGACCTGGGCTGCAATGCTGCTTAGTCTTCCCAAATAGACCAATCAAATTAATTTCTCATTAAGAATGGAGAAAAAAAGAATGTGGTATTAAAGGGGCTCCCTTTTCCTGGGTGGCGCATTTGCCATGGAAAATAAGCATTCTCCACCCAAGATCTTGATTTCAGAATTTCCAGCAATGTCACCAGGCTCATTCTCCACTGCACTTCGCCATGTGGTAAGGAAGCCAGACCCAGGTTAACTACTTGTAATCTGCAAGCCAAACAGCAAGAGCTAGAGTAAGGAATGAGAAGATTTAGGGTTATAGGATATGGCCAGACTCCTGTCCTAATGAACCATCTAAAGTTAGAGTCAGGGAGAAGGATATTTTATATTAATTTTTATTTTATTAAATTTATTTTCGTACAATAAATAAGTTAAGGGACATTTTAAAGGGCTTGAGGAATGCACTTGCACTGAGTGGCTGGTGTTCATGTTCCCTGGAGTTATCTCTGTGCAGCAGGCTCTAGTCCTCAGGATTGCAACCTTGCTACTGTCATTCTGAGCCTTCAAGGTTTCTGTAGATGTCTATGAATAAAAACCTCAAAAATATTTGAGAATTAGCTTCATTCTGCTGACAGAGAAGTTAACACCATAGCATTTGACACACCTAATCATTTTCTCAGGAATGTTTGCCAGCAGGGAAGGAGGAGCTAAGGGGAAAAAGCAAAGCAACTATTATCTGGAGCCTTGGTCTCTAGAGAAGGGCAGGAAGTTCCTGTCTCCAAATGACTCCTACCCTTTCTCTCTGTGATTTCAGCTCCCAGCAGGCCTGGGCACTGGGTTCAAGGTTGTAGATAAGCCTCTTGCCTACTTGGCATGCTGCTGTCAGAGAAACTGTGAAAAGGCTCAAAGAAAGATGAGTTTTTTTTTTTTCCTTTTGTGCTCTTAGGAGCTGAAAGCAATTTAGCCATTTTAATCTCAGTTTCAGTTTCGAGTGGGCTGCCCCCAGCTCACTGGGTGATATCTGTCCTCCTCCACTTCTGGCAGAGAAGATTTTGTCCCCCAAGAGCTCAGGCAAAAGGAGTTTAAAAACCTTGAATTTTAAAATCCCTGAGGAACTCTAGGGACACTGGAACACACAGACTCACAGAAGGTTTGACTACCTGAGGGGAGAGGGAGTTGAAGGTATTTGGTACTTAGTCACCGGTCAGTTATTGGCTGCAGGGCAGCTCCTAGGGGCATTCATTCCCGGGAACCCCTGGCCTGCCTGCGTGGCTTGGAGGTAGAGCAAGCTCCCAGGAGCTGCGCTTGGAACTTGAGCTGATAGAGGCAGAAGGATAAGTTACAGGGGAAATAGGCAGAGTGCAAACATAGGATACCCCGGCACATGTGAATTGTGAACTGAGATGTATAGATGATACACCAATCCCCAAGTGGAGGTAGCAGGGAGCTTTGAAAGAATTTTTTTTGTTGTTTTTTTTTTGCTGTCTGCTTTCCCTACCAATGTTCTGGAGTACTCAAGATTGTTTCAGGTGGGGCCCAGGAGGGATTCCCCAACACCAATCACCTGGGGAAAGGGTGATCTACAATTTCCTCATCTTTAATTGAGAATAATGGTAGCTATTTCATGGGGGAGTTACAAAGAGTAATGATGTATATAACTTGATTAACACAACGAACATATTCAAATAAATGTTAACAATTAATAAGAACACTGGAAGTTGCAGTGGTGATTTAATATTAATCGGTCATTCAGTACTCTTCTGACACTTTGGCTACTCTCTCTAGAGGCAGGATTTATTATCTTGCTGGTGATAAAAGTCTTAAAAGTCTCAATTTTTTTTTAAATTTTAATTTTGAAATAACTATAGACTCACAGGAAGTTACAAAGGCAGTTCAAAGAGGTCTATTGTACCTTTCACTTAGTATCCCCCAAGCATACTTGTTATCTAATATGAAAAAAAAAAAAAACTCAACCAGTATGTTGACACCAGTGCAAAGTTCATGTGCATCATTTTGTTATATGTGTAGACTTACGCGACCAATACCACAGTCAAAAAACAACTATTTCATTGCTGCAAAGATACTCTGTTCTACCCCTTTAGAGCCATATCTCCTTTGCCCCATCATGTCAAACTCTGTGCAATTTATTCCCAACCTCTATCATTTGCTATTTCAAAAATGAAATAAAATGGAATCTTTCAGCATATGAGTGCTTGATATTGGTCTTGATGCCCTTGGGATCTATCCAAGTTGGTTTGAATATCAATATTTCGTTCCTTTTAATTGCTGAGTAGTCTTCCATGGTACACTATATCACAGTTTGTTTTAGCCATTCACTTATTTTTAGGATGTGCTTATTTTCAAGTTCAGGGCTGTAACAAATAAAATTTCTATGAATGTTTATGTACAGGTTTTTGTATGGATGTATGTTTTCATTTTTCTGGAATAATTCCAGGAATACATTGCTGTGTCATATGATAATTTGTAGGGTTTTTCAAGAAGCTGCCAGATTATTTTCTAGGTGGAGGTGTCAATATGTAATGTTCCTCTCTATCTGTGTTAATTTTCTTTCCCCTGAGGTCTACTTTATCAGGTTATTAATAGAGCCTTTTCTCTTCATTTTGATTAATGTCTAGCTGTATTATTATATTTGACAAAAATTTCTTGTAAACAGCATATACTTGGATCATTCTTTTTTAGTTCATGCTACCATCTCTGAACTGGTTTATTCAGACCATGATTTCTGTCCTGCTGGGCTGCCCCTCTGCTAGACAGTGAAAGTTTCGCACATGTGGAGATTTCCAAGTGAAGGCAGGAAGTGAGGAAGTGAGGAAATGGATATAGGCAGTGAGTTAGGAACAGGGCACCCCAAGCCCCAAGTTTCTCAGTTTTCAACTCACTGATAAACCATCATAGACCAGAAGGGACCCCCACCCCCGCAATTCAATTAAAAATGGAATGTCTAGAACCAATATAACAACACAATAGCAACGGACCAAAGCTGATTTTGGAAAAGTATATTAGGTAACTTCAGAAAACTCAGCAGGCCTTGGTAGCCTAGGAGGCCCACGAGAGCCCAGCCAATCAGCAAGAGACACAGCATGTAAACACTCAATGACCAAATCCCTATTCCTTGCCCACTGTACCTATACAAGCACCTGCTTCTTGTCACCTCAGTCAGCTACCTACGTGGGAACCCTCTTTACTCTGAGACCTTTCCTATCCTTCTTCCAGTCTATCAATAAATCTCTTGCTTTTCTATAACTTTGGTCTCAACATTGAATTCTTCCCTTGCAGGAGACAAGAACCGACAAAGAGCCTGCCTGGGGTCCTTGGACTCCCAACCTGCTCCCCCAAAAAACCCTGATTCACAAGTGGCCAGCTTTTTCATCCCCAAATATGAGATACATGAAACAAGAAAGAAAACCCAATGCATAAACTTCCTGGATCTGTGTTAAAGAACTACCACAAATTTGGTGGCTTAAAAAGACAAATTTTTTCTCACACAGTTCTAGAGCCATGCAGTCTGAAATCAAAGATTCTTTGGGCCGTGCTCCCTCTAGAGGTGCTAGTGGAGAATCTATTCTTGCCTTTTCCACTGTCTGGTGGCTGCTGGCATTCCTGGGCTGTGCCCCATCACTGCCATCTCTGCCCCTTCTTCACACTCCTTCTCCTCCCTGTGTCTGTCCTGAATGTCAGTCTGTGCCTGTCTCATAAGGAAACCTGTCTCGGGGCCTGGACTCCCCACTGCTATCACAGATGCTTCTTTGTTGGCATTTGTAAAAGCAAAGTGGCAGGAGTTGGGGGCGATGGGAGTAAAGTTCACTTTAAAAATTCAAAACATTGGGCCTCCCTGGTGGCACAGGGGTTAAAGAAAATGCTATTGATACCGGAATTGTCAGGCCTAGTCTCCCAACCAGGAACGGATCCCAGGCTGCAGGGCAATGCTGAGCCCCAGCCACTAGACCCCCATGGGTTGGTGTCTCACGAAGCCGCAGCAGGAACTTCGCAGACGCTCAGGCAAGCAAGCGAGAAGAGGCAGATTTGTTTATAGAAAGAAAAAGTTTAATGAGGAGAAAAAGAGCAGAAATAAAGTGGGACTCCCAGGCCAGGGACCCAGGCCTGGGAGGGGCAAGGAAGCCAAAGTGGAGTTGTGTCTCAGGGAATATATACCTTTTCCCCTCATTATTCTAAAGCTCCACCAGTCTCTCTGTAATTGGTTAGTTCTCAGCTGTCTCACTTAATTTGCTACTGAATGGGGATCTTCACATTCTTTATCTAACAGCTTTCTCTTTCCCCATTTGTTGCATCTTTAAATTTATGGCCCAGTCTTCTGGATGGGCATCCCTGCATTGAAGTTAAACAGCTGCCCTTCTAATGTGTCCATAAATTAAACCATTCTCCATTTCTCCAATCTCCGCCTCCCTTTACCACCTGAAGGAAACCAGGACCAGCATTAACAATGTTGTCCTTGGTCCTGGGATGTTTGTTTTTCCTAGTGGAACGGGTTACTTTCCCTTGGTTGTCCTTATCTCTGAAGCCTCCCTAAATTCTTCAGAGGTCCCCTCCTGCACTGTCCCTAAAACTGCCTAATTTCTAGCTTGCCCTGTGTCTCACTATCAAGCTGATGCCAGCCACTGCAGCATGAGTTCAATCCCTGGCCAGCCAGGGACCCGACCCCCATGGTGTAGCAGACCTCTCCTGTCTTGCCCACTGCTCCCCTCAGCAGTGTATTTCGGTCAGTCTGCTTGTTCTGTTCCCCACTCTGTCCCTAGTGAATCCTTTCACCTCCCCTGTACCTCTGGCCTACACCCCAGTTTTTGTATGCATAAATAAATAAATATTTTTTTAAAATTCAAAACAAATCCATAAAGTTTAGTGTATAAAAGGACTAGAGTACCAGTATGAAATCACATTTAAAAATATAGAAATAGGGCCTCCCCTGGTGGCGCAGCGGTTGAGCGCTGGGCTGTGAAACTGCCCACAGCCTCTGCAGCTCCAGTTCGATCCCCGGCCTCCGGCGATGGTCCCACATGGCGCGCAGACCTCTCCTGCCACAGGCTGCTCCCCTCAGCAGTGTCTTCTGTCCATCTGCCTGCTCTGCTCCCCACTCTGGCTCTGGTGAATTCTCTCACCCTCCCGCGCTTCTGACTGTACCCAATGCTTGTATAAATAAATAAATCTTTAAAAAAAAATAGAAATAGGGCCTCCCTCGTGGCGCAGGCAGTTGACCGTCGCATTGTGAAGCTGTCCAGACCCTCTGCAGTGTGGGTTCGATCCCAGCCAGCCAGCGAGGGTCCTACATGGCGCGGGAGACCTCTCCTGTCTCGCCCGCTGCTCCCCTCAGCAGTGTATTTTGTCAGTCTGCCTATTCTGTTCCCCACTCTGTCTCTGGTGGGTCCTCTCACCCTCCCACGCATCTGGCCTGTACCCCGGTTCTTGTATAAATAAATTAATATATATAAATAAAAAAATTAGTTATAAAAATATAAAAATTAGTTATATAAAAATTAGTTATAAAATATAAAAAAGTAAGAATTTAGGGTTTGAACAGATTTAATAATTAACATTAGAGAGATAAATTAGGTAAAAGTTGAAATCTTGAGAAAATTAGGTAAAGGTAGAACTTATACACATGCTATTCTCAAACGAGTCCACTCTTAGGTATGTACCCAACAGAGACATGGGCATATGTCCTCAGCAGACTTGGGCATGCATGTTTATTCTTAAAAAGTAGAAACTACCCCAACTCCATTATCAGTAGAATGAATGAATAAATTGCAATTTATTTATACAATGGAATTCTACAGGATAATAAAAGTGAGCTACAAGTTCACACCACACTGATGAAATCAGAAATATTTTAAGTGAAAGAAGCCAAAAATAAAATAATATATATTCTGTATGATTCCATTTCTAAATGTTCAACCAATAAGCCAACTAAGCTAGTATGTTAGAAGCTGGGTAGAGGTGAAATTTTATGGCTACTGTCCTGTAAATTGGGGTAACTGCCCTTTGATAGGTCTGTCTAGATCATTAAGCAAGATGACTATTGTGTCAGTAATACTGCACTGACAAAGAAACAGAGTGGTGGAGCAAGCTGTACAATGCAGGATGCTGCTGAAATAGCAAGATCCTGGCCTTCTTGTTGATAGAGTAATCACACAACATCAATTACATGGGGTAGGAGAACAAAAAGGAAAACGGTGGGTGAAACTGAAAATGTACTTATGTCATCTAGGGCTTCTGGGGGAGGTGAGTCTGCTGACCAGGTATTTTTTATCTGCTTGATGACCCAGTGTTATCATGGAAACCATACCCCAGGTCCCCAACCATAGTTCCAAACTTATCAACAAGTCATCCCTCTGATCAGTCTCTGGGATGCAAAGATACACAACAGTCATTCATCCCTGGGCATTTTGGGGTTATCTCATGCTCATTGTCCCAGAGCAATCAAGTGTCCTGCTCTTGTTTAATTTGAAAGAACCCTTGTAGGGTCTAGTATAATACATTCTTTTCAAGTCTAATAACTGATTGACCAGGCTGTTCTGATCTTGTACTGGAATGCCATATTGCATGTAACCAAAATGGCAGTTGAGCAGGCCATTTAAGAAGGCCATTGAAGAGACAGCAGGTCTGTGCAGGCACCAATCAGTCCTTGGTGACATTGGATCAGCAGAAGTGGTTACTCCTGTCTCCCCCTACCCTCCCATCACCCTCAAGCCTCTCATGCAAATCTGAGGTTCTTGTTTGTGCAGTTACACTTCCCCTTTGGAAATGCTCACTCAGACTGCCATTAATAGCTAGATAAATTATTTTTTTAAGATTTTTTTATTTATACGAGAACCAGGGTACAGGCCAGATGTGCGGGAGGATGAGAGAATTCACCAGAGGCAGAGAGGGGAACAGAGCAGGCAGACTGAGTGAATACACTGCTGAGGGGAGCAGTGGACCAGACAGGAAAGGTCTGCTGCACCATGTGGGTAGCTCCGTGGCTGGTGGGGATCAAACAGGCACTGCAGAGGCTGCGGACAGCTTCACAGTGCAGCACTCAACTGCCTGAGCCACCAGGGAGGCCCATTAGATAAAGCATTATTTTATAGTATTTTACCAAGCTGTGTGGGTGGGAAGAGTCCTGGGGAGAAGACCTATGGTGCAGTGGTGAGGTCTCAACCCTATCTGCTCCCCATTTCTGATCAGTGTGCATTTCTCTACGCTTGACAGGGAATCACATGAGGAAGACCTGATAGATCTCATCCAACCAGCAATGAGCACAGGGGAGGTTCAAGACCTCCATGAAGAAGAGAGTTCGCATACCAGCTGAAGGCCTTGGTGAGGTCTGCCTGCAAAGTTGCCCTTCGCTGGAGTCTGGGAACTTGGATGGTCAAGTTTCCTACATTGATAAAAAAAACTTTTCCTGAGAATAAGAGGAGCTCACACCATCTACACCATAGGAACAAAGTGATTTATACAGAACACTTCTTTCCTACATGGAGTCTGGAATTTAGTTCTTTACTTGGCAGAGGCTGCTTCGTGACCAGCTCCCATGAAAAACCTGTGCATCTAATGAGCTTCCCTGGTCCACAGCATTTCACATGTGCTGTTACAATTTGCTGCTGAGGAATCAAGTGTGTCCTGTGTGACCACATAGGGAGAAGACTCTGGAAGCTGAAGCCTGGTTTCCTTTGTACCTTTTTCCTTTGCTGATCTTGTCTTGTATCCTCTCACTGTGATAAATCATAGCTATGAGGATGACTATGTGCTGAGGTCTGGGTGTCCTCTTAGTGAATGTTTGAACCAAGGGGGCTAGACTTGGGGACCTCAGAGACAATCACAAGATACGTGTCAGTCACAGAGTTGCATGGGGAACAAGCAGAGTTCCCCAACCTTGGGCCAAAGGTCAGGATTTGCCTAAATCATGAAAAGTCTCAAAGATATGGGCTGCAGTAGAAGAAAATTATGAGGTTCCCCCAAAGAGTTGATAGCCTTCTACTCAAATTTCAGGTCACATAAACACTGTTAGATAGATACAGTGTGAATGTGAGTGTGAGTGTGTGTGTGCTGTGTGTGCTATGTGTGAGTGTATGTGAACATGTGTGAGTATGCACATGCTGTGTGGGAGTGTGGGAGTACAAATGCATGAATTATGCCTAGTGTGAGTTCATATGTGTGAATTAGTGTGAATGTACATTACGAGTGTGTGCATGTGAATCATGTATGTGTGAGTGCATGTGCATGTGTGTGCATGTGAATGACTGCATATGTGTGAGTGTATATGTGAGTGTACAGGAGTAGATGTGTGTGCATGTATGAGTTGTGTGTGTCTATGGGAATACGCATGTGAGAATGTGTGTGTATAAGTGTATCTCTGTGTATGAATGAATGAGTCCATGTGAGTGAGCACATGAGTGTGTGTATGAGACTCTGAGTACATATCTGAGTGTGCACATGCATGGCATGCCTATGTATATGATTGTGTGCATGTGTGAGTGAGTGTACAGGGAAGAAGGAAGTCCTTTCAGAAGACTATTAACAGAAAGTATACCAGATTTCAGTCTAAGGTTTTATTAAGGATCTCTGCATGAACGCATTTAGGCCTCCAGACAGGAGTTGTTCCAGAGCTCGTAAAACTTTATCCAGGGCACAGTATATAGCAAGAAATCACAAATGAAACTCTGTGGGAGGATTAAAAAAACAGACAATCAGCTTTCAGCAAAAAATGTTTTGAAGGTAAATAAAAACCTGCCCCCACCCCCCATGCCCTCACCTGGGGAGTCTAGACCCGTCAGTGTGACTGCGCACTGAGCACATTGGGGCTGGGGGCCATCTGCCAGCAGTCACATGTCAGGGGCAGAAGGGGACCAAGCCCCAGCCAGGAGAGTCACCCTGTGCTCCCCCTGCCAAGCCACTGGAGCCAGCAGTCCCCGAGGGACCCTGAGATGAAGGCAGGGCAGGCAGCTCAACACAGCGACATTACCCCAATGCCCACCTTCCTGCAGCTGACCTGGGCCCAGGGAAAGACCTTAGTGTCTGCCTTGCAGGTGGTGGCACCAGGAGTGCAGGAAGGGGCAGGTGAGATTGGAAGAAAAAGAGGAAACTGGACTGCCCCTCTGGGTCCTGGAGAGTGTGAGCCCAGACCAGAACGCAGCCGCAAGGAAAATACACTGCCGCCGCCTGGAGGCCTGGAGTGGATCACTGGGCAGGAGTCCAGGGGCACCGAGGCCTGGGGCCGGGGCTGTGCCATCAACTAGAGAGCCTCCCTACAACCCCAGGATGCCTCTGATCCCGATGGTCAGGCCCAGCCTTGCCTCTCCTAATCCACACAATAGGAAAAGCTATCCATGTCCGATTACTCTCAATTTTTTTACTTTTCCTCTCTTGATCATGAGTCCTTCTCGACTGAATGCTACCACACACCTTTTTCAGCCCCTTGCTTTGAAAGCGGCAAGGCTGACTTTTCTTCTCATTCCTCTTGCATTTGGTCCGGCTAATCTTCACTGTGATCAGATACTCCACTCCTGTTGTCAGCTACCAAAAGGAAAGTCGCAGTTAGCTTTGACTCCGCACATCCAGCCACTGGCTCTCTCCAAGAAAATCTAGGACAGAGGGAGGAGTCCCAGGAACCACAGTCCCTGTTCAAGCACACCTGCCAAAAGCCTGGCTCTTGGAGAATGTGTCGTGGCAGCTCAGTCCCCAGTGTGTGCTGAGCCCATTCCCCTGCTTTGGATTTACTCACTGTCTGTTCTTGGGCTAAGGGAGACAACACTTGAGTTTCGTTGCCCAGCAACCACAGAATAACCCCCCGATTTCACAGGGCCACATCTGGTCCATGTCCTCCTCTCTTCTCTCCTTCCCAAGCAACCTGATTGGGGGGGGGGTACTTGAGCAACACATCAATCAACATTGGCTTAAGAATTCAAGTGATTTGGGGGGCACAATCCCCATCTACTAAGGCAGGGGGCATTGAGCCAGTGCTTGGCAGTCTTAGTTTCCTCATCTAGAAAATGGGGAGAACAGTAACAATTTCCAACTTGGGTGTATGTGAATGTTCACTGCTTAAACCACGGACAGTGCAGGCCAAGGTTATTTCTATTGTGATTTGTCTTCTTTTACTCCTGTCTAAGAGTGAGACTGCAAAAATGCCAGGGATAAAGACTGGAGGAAGACTTTTGTGGCAGAGAAGCAGCATGTCCAGAAGTGAATCTCCAGCAACTGGTTTGGTGATTACTGTTACCCTTTGGAAAGTGGCTTGGAAAACTGTTACCGTTGGAAATTGCTACACATTGGAAAAAGAGCTGGCTTCTCCACGTAGACATGTGGATTAGAGAGGTCTGCACTGAAGTAGAACAGCTTCCAGAACCTCCCTGCTTTCTCCTCTCAATGACAACGACCACAGCAAAGGAGAAGGCTTGGCACTCTCTGGAGAGGCAGTAGAGGGAGAAATGCTTACACTGGCGGCAGGAGGAGAACACCCCAGAAAACCTCAGGAGAGGGCAGCTGGGCAACCACCATTTGACACCAGGGTCCATGGCAGAGCCTCAGGCTGCAGGGACTCCCCCCCCCCCCGCTGCCATCTTGCAGGGCTTGGGCACACTCTGTAAATGGAGACTCCAAAACATTGACTATCAATTTAACACTCCAATGTGAGAAGTGTTTTCTTACTCATTATCAAACTTAATCGATATTATTAGAAATAATCATAATAATACAAATGTGTCCACTAGTACCTGTTTTTTTTAATTGAAGTGATATTGCATCATAATATTAAGTATTAGGATTGCATTGCTGAGAATAAATGTGTACATACATACAGCAGTAAGTTCACCACTAAATATCCAATTCTATGTTTTATCCTGCGATGATCCCCCTTGTCCTGATTTACCAACCCCATTTCCCATTCCATTAGAGTAACCACTAACTGGTCATATAGTACCAATTTATTTTGTATCATTTACTTTGTTTTCTCTATTTACCACGGAGGAGTAAAATCATATGATGTTTGTCTTTCTCCATCTGGCTTATTTCACTAAGTGTAATTCTCTCTAGTCCACAGTCATGCAGAAGCAGGTGTGGGGATACTCAGGGACTGCTCTCCCAAATCACCCAGCTATCAAGGGGTATACATAAACTGTCCACTCATCCATTTGAATAGCATTAACAGTTTATTCATTAGCAATTTTTTTAGAGGTAACGATTCACCACAATGGATTGATTTCACAAGACAAGCATTGGATTCTCATACCTTAGAAAGAACAAGCCACCTTTGATAAGAACTTTGGTGGACGGACGCCACCTTATGGCCAAGTCACCTCAATACTCTTGACTCTGCTGAACCACCATCTTGCAGCAAGAGTGCATGAGAGAGAGAGAGGGACAGCCTGCAATATGGGGAGTTCTTCCTATCACACTAATCTGCATCTCTGTCCCCACCTGGGCTGGTTTCTCCAGTTTCTGCTTCTGTTCTATCTGGTCATATCCTTTTTCTCCTTGTCAATTATTTTTTTCTGAATCTGGCAATAAGATGTCTTATTGCCTCTCCCTGACATATAATTTATTATCTGATCTTGAGGGAAAATTGAACCACAAAAGTGGTTTTTAGTTTTTCTTTCCTCTCTCATCTTGAATTGACATGGTTCAAAAAAAAAAAAAGTAAAAAGAGAGATAATAGGTTGAGCCTATGCCTCATTCCCCAGCTCTCCTCCCTTCATAAACATCCTCCCATAATTCCAAGTTTCTATAGCATACAGTTAGAGCCCTCTGTTTAATTCAAGATTTCTGTAGAGCACAGGTAAAAGTCATCTGTGCAATTCCGGATTTCTTTAGAACAGTTCAAGACCCTCTGTGTAATTCCAGGTTTCTAAGAGAGTGCCACAAAACCTTCTGCGTAATGTCAGATTACTGTAGAGCAGAGGCAAGGTCTACACTTCAGTTTTCAGTCCCAAACATTGAAAAAAGATACTGTTGAAGGGAACCTACAAAGAATGATTATATTTTGGCAAGTGAGACCATTAAAGAAAACATAATCATCCTTTTCTGCTGTCACTCTAGTAGGCCCTAATTTTAAAATGAAAGATTTTTCCCAAGAAGAACAATTGAGACCTTCAAGGGAAATTTTTGCTTCAAAGTGTCACGGAGGGCCTCTCTAGTGGCACAGGGGTTAAAGTTCCAGCACTATCAAAGTATCACCAGCCACCGCAGCATGAGTTTGATCACTGACCAGGGAGCTAATCCACAGGATGGAGCAGACCTCTCCTGTCTCACCCACTGCTCCCTTCAGCAGTGTATTTCAGTGGATATGTTCCATACTCTGTCTCTGGTGAATCCTCTCTCCCACCCATCCCCATACCTCTGGCCTAGACCCCAGGTCTAGTATGCATAAGTAAGTAAAATAAATCTTTAAATCTTAAAAAAAAAAAAAAAGTGTCACAGAGTTAGGGTTCCACTCCAGCCCTTAGACTAGAGTTTTGCAAGGATTGCTAAGGCAACACTGGAGTCTGAACAACTCTAAATCACACCATTTCAGTGAAGCCACCCCCACTGCAACTTGGTGAAGCCATTGCTTGGTTCTTCTGGGAACCATCCTGTGACCTCATGTGTCCGAATAGGTAAGCATGGAGGCAATGTCCATGTGCAGAGAAAATGAGTCACATACCTGCACCTGACTTCGGAGTAGCTTGTCAACTTGAAATAAGTAGGTATCATTGCTAGCGTTGTTGTAGCTTTCAATGAAGAAGTTGAGTGTTGAATTCATGTTTTTCTTGCTCATGGGCTTCTCCTGAAACCCTTTCCATTCTTCAAAGTGACTCATCGTGGCCGCCAGGATAAAGGCAGTCAGCAGCAGCAGCAGGGGATTCCTCCAGCATCCAACTGCCATCTCTGTAGCCCCAGAAACCTCCTATCCACTGTAACTTTTGGAGTCGGTGGGATCCCAGTGGTCACTCTCCCAAGGAGAAAGATGCCTGCCTGCATTTAAATAGAGATTGACACCTGAACCTGAGCCTCATCCTTCAAGGCCTTGACCACAATTTGACCAAAGCCCAACTGGGGAAATCTGCCTGTATGGCTGCTCATCCCACTCTCAGGTAGATTCATTTTCAACACCTTTGTGACACCTGGTAATTCAGCAAGTAAAATTTCTAAATACCTGCCAGAGTGGATGAGACCCTGCCTCTGCCTTCACACCTATTGAGGAAGAAAGCTCCAGGGCATTCCCTCCCACTGTTATGATTAAGAGCTGATGTTTTGGGGCCTCCCCGGTGGCCCAACGGTTGAGTGCTGGGTTGCGAAGCTGCCCGCTGCCTCTGCAGCGCCGGTTCGATCCCCGGCTGCTCCCCGGCCACCGGATGAGGGTCCCACGTGGCGCGCAGACCTCTCCTGCCACCCACTGCTCCCCTCAGCAGTGTACTTCGGTCCTTCTGCCTGCTCTGCTCTCCACTCTGGCTCTGGTGAATTCTCTCACCCTCCCGCGCTTCTGACTGTACCCAGTGCTTGTAAAAATAAATAAATTAATTTTTTAAAAAAAGAAACATACCATAACTTTAAAAAAAAAAAAAGAACTGATGTTTTGGATAGAGGGGGCCATTAGTGGGACCTGGGGAAGGCTTGTGATGAAGGTGATATTGGGACTAAAATATAAGGGATCAAGGACATGGAACAGGGTGTGGTAAGTTCTACTTACCAACAATCTAACCAGCCATCAACTCTTCCCTCTAAAGACAGGTTCTGTTTGCTCATTTGTCACTTACTCACCACCAGTCTCTGCCTGCTGGATCCTACTGTGCCTGCAGGTCCTGGCATTAGTATTTTATATCTTGATGTGACTCCAGTGAGGCTTTGTGAGGTAATCTGTCTCCTGTGAGGGAGGAATAGGCTTGAGGTTTATTCAAAATTAATCCTGATAGCCCCTGAAGGTTTCCTGTGTAAGGGAGTAAAAATGTTCCTATACCTTATTTAGGTCTGGAACCGGACCTGCTAACTCAAGTAGCATAAAATAGATTAGCAAAAGAAAAACACATAAATTTTATTAAATTTTTACCTGTATGTTTGAGCCTTCACAAGCTAATGAAGACCCAAAGAAGTCACCAGAGGAGGAAGTTTTATACCTTTTAGACAGAGAAACAATAAATTTGTGAAAATTTGACAAAACAAAGGGGTTTGAGTTGTGGGTGGTAATTGGTAAAGTAGTAACAGGTTTGTTTATATAACCTTCTCAGCTCTAACTCCCACATCTCTGGTTATGAGGATGGCTCCATTCCTCCTGGTACAGTGAGGGGCCCTCCCAAGGGCGGTTTAAGGAAAAAGAGTAATAAGATGGGGGTGTCAGAGTGACCTCCCTGCTTCTGCTGCTTTCTCACACTCCTTCAGATTAAGGTGCCATATGCCAAGATGAACACTTTCACCTGCACTCAGAAGCCCATAAGAGTTCCTTATGTTAAAAAACACTTGTTAAAGTGGGATCCTAATAGAGTCTTGCTCCAGAAAAAAATTAAAAAATGTTAGTTGGATAAAATTTAAATAGTCTGAAGATTAGCTAATAGTATGTTAGGAATATTTACTTCCTACTTTTCACCATTGCACTATAATCACGCATGATTTAAACATCTGGATAACAGGATAAAAGGCATACAAAAAATACAATTTACGCTCCTTGTGCAGTCTTTTGGTAAGTCAGAAATTACTTCAGAATAAAGGTTAAATGTTCAAAATAGGGCTTCCCTGGTGGCGCAAGGGGTTAAACACAGCACTGTGAAGCTATCCACAGCCTCTGCAGCATGAGTTCGAACTCCAGCTGGCCAGGGAGCTACCCACATGGTGCAGCAGACCTCTCCTCACCCACTACTCCCCTCCAGTGTATTTCAGGGGATCTGCCTGTTCTGCTCCCCACTCTGTCTCTGGTGAATCCTCTCACCCCCTGCACTTCTGGCCTGTACCCCAGTTCTTGTATGTTTACATAAATAAATCTCTAAAAAAAAAAAAAAAGTTCAAAATATACATAAGGTATTAGAGTGAGACCAGTAGCACACTATAGTGGGGAAGCGCGGGCCTTGATATCTAACAGCCCTGAATTCAAATCCCTTGCTGGGCATCTGGGAAGAGTAGTTTAATCTCATTAAGCTCTATGGCTCTGGGACTGTGCTGGAGACTAAATGAATGTGGACCAAGAATCTGCTCCCAAGATAGTCCCCGGTCAGAGCTCAAACACATCTATGTGATTTTTCCATAACTCTGAACCCACATGCTCAAGTCTGTCATCTGTTGGATCCCAAGAGCCCAAAACCCAGACCACCCTCCATTGTGAAAATCTTTCTTGGACCCATCATAACATCCACACTTGACCCTTAAAGCCTGCCTGGTGGGACTTGTCCCATTCTCACTGGTGGCAGCTTTGGAAAATTCTGAGCCTGAGCCACAGAAGTGTTATTGTAAAGTAGACATACATGGCTTCTGAGCAAGCTGGACAGTGCCCACACCTGGGATATGCTCATCAGACAAAAGAAAGTGACATTCATGGGCTATATTAAAAAAAAAAAAAACCCATACCAATCCTCCCTGGTGGCGCAAGGGGTTAAGACGCAACCTATGAAGCTTCTGCAGCCTTTGCAGCACGAGTTCAATCCCCGGCCAGGGAGCAACCCACATGGCATAGCAGACCTCTCCTGACTCGCCCGCTGCTTCCCCTCAGCAGTGTACTTCGGTCAGTCTGCCTGTTCTGTTCCCCACTCTGTCTCTGGTGAATCCTCTCACACCCCACACCTCTGGCCTGTACCCCAGTTCTTGTATGCATAAATAAATAAATCTTTAAAAAAAAATACCAAGAGCATAAAAATAAGAAACAATAAGACATATGAGGCTTGGCTGTGTCCATAAAGTAAGAGAAGAGTGGGTCTCTGTTTACTTCCATGAAATAAAAGAAAATTATAGACCTTGACTATGTCCAAATAGCCAAGGAATAAGACAAAAAGAGGGCCTGGCACCTCTTGGCTCCTGGCAGCATAACTCCAGTCTCTGTCTCTGCCTCCGCATCTCAAATCTCTCTGTCCTTGCTCTCTTAAGGACTCGTGTCACTGGATTTAGGGCTATCCTAAGTCCAGTAGGATCTCATCTTAAAATTTTAACTTAATTAGATCTGTAAAGACTACAAATAAATTCTCATTCACAGGTACTAGGGGTGAGGACCTATATTTTGAAGGAACACAAATCAACCCACTAAAATGTCCATGGAATAAGAATAAAACAAGGAATGTGGGTGTTTCTGTGTATTAGTTTCCTGAAGCTGCTATGATAAATCATTACCAACTTGATGACTTAAAACAACAGAAATTTATTCTCTTGTAGTTCTGGATGTCCAAAGTCTGAAGCCATTTTCACTGGACCAAAAAACAAGGTGAAAAAGTCAGGGCTGTTCTCCCTCCAGAGGCTCTAGGGGGGACTCTGTTCCTCATATCCCATTTCCACTGGGTGCCTGCATTCCTTGACTTGTGGCCACATCACCCCAATCTCCTGGTTACATGACTTCCTCTGCTCTTTTCTGCATCAAATCTCCCAGTACTTCCTTCTTACAAGGATACATGGCTGACATGTAGGTCCCACCTGGAAAATCCAGGATGATATGTGCACCTCAAACCTTGAACTTAATCACATCTGCAAAATTCTTCTTTGCCACATCAGGTAATGTTCATAACATCCAGGGGCTAAGATGTGAATCTTTTAGAAAACCATTATTCTATCTACCACACCCTAGATTAGAGTGAAGTAGGGGGCCAGATTATGTCCATGGAATAGGGAAGAAGAAGATCCCTGGCCACAGCCCTGAAAAAAAAATGAATATATCCAGAAAAATAGGAGGAGAAAAGGGACCTCATCAATTCTATCCTAAAGGGAAATTATGCATCTTGGTTATTCCCACGGACTAAGGAGAAACTAGGGTCTAGTTAGGTCCAGGAGCAGGCTGAAATGGGAGCATGAACATGAACTAAGGAGAAATAAGGACCCTGGTCATGTCTATGGGATAAAAGGAAAACATATGGTCTGGTAGTATGTGTGGGTAAGGGAGAAAGAAGTGACCTGATAATATCCATGGAATAAGATGAAAATAGGGAGCAGCCATACATCCACAAGTCAGAGGAAATTACAGGAGGATGGACGGATAGATGTATGGATGGGTGGATGGATGGATGATAGGTCGGTAGGTAGGAAGATAGACAGACGGATGATTTCCAAAGTAAATAGTACCTAGCACTCTCCCTGGTATAAAAGGAAAACGGGACCTGTTGAAGATCACGGTATAAAGGGGAAAAAAATGGTCTGGTTATATTCTCAGAAAACACTCCAAGGAAGGTGGCAATTTAATGTCCATAAAATGAGAAAGAGAACAATATTGTGTCACTGGCATATGTGTAAAATAGGGACCCTAGTTATGAAATATGGTGAAAATAAAGAACCTGGATGTGTTCATGAATTAAGAGAGAAAGATTGAGCCTGATAAAATCCATGGAAAGGGAAAATATTAGACCTGATTTCCATGCAATGAGGAGATGGGTCCATATAATAAAATGGGTCCATATAATAAAAAAGTGGGGGATCTCATTATATCCATGGAATAAAGGGGAAAGCAAAGTGCCCTGATCATGTCCAAGGGATAAAAGGAAAAGAAGAGGCTTATGTCTGGGAAGTGGAGAAATACAGGACTGTGGCTATGTCCATGTAATAAGGTCATGTCCATGGAACATAAGAAAAACCCTGGTTGTGTACATGGAAGATGGGGAAAGAAGGAACCTTTCTGGTCCATGTACAAAGAGGAAAATATTAAGCCTGATAATGTTCATGGATTAGGGGAAAATGTGAGTTCTAGTTGTTTCCATGAAATAAAAGGAAACCTAGATGTCAATAATAGGAAGAAAGTTGAAGAAATAACGCAGCCTGGTTAAGTTATGAAATAAGGAAAAAGCAGGAGCTGACTAAGTCTATTTTATGGGAGGAAATAAGAAGCCCATGATGGCCTCTGGACATTTTCATGGAAAAGGAAAAAATAGAGAACTTGGTTACATGCATGAAATAGCAGTGAAATAGAAGCCCTGGCTATCTCTATGGCCCGGACATGCCCACAGAATAAGGGAAATGGAGGACCTGTTTATTTCCACTGAGTAATACAAAAATGCATTGGCCAGATACAGCCATGAGATAAGAGGAAAACAGGGAGTCTCATTGTTTCCATGGCGTGAGTGTGATTTAGGCAGACTGCTTATATTCGTGGTAATAAAATAAGGGGAAAATAAAGGCTCTGGGTATAGTATGAATAATAGGAAATAGCAGGACTGCTTATGTCCATGGAATAAGGAGGAGCAGAAAGGAGGGAATGCAAAGGAGTTTGAGGAAAGGCTTGGGTGATAGATGTGCTCACTGGCTAGATTGTAGTGATGCTTTCATTGGTGATACATATGCTAAAACTCTTCCAGTTATGTACTGTAAATATGTGCAGTTTATTATGTGTTAATAAATACCTCAATAAGGCAGTTTATATGGGTTGACAAAAAAGTATATGGGTGAACAGGTGGATGGATGGATGGATGGATGGATGGATGGATGGAGTGTGTATGTATGGGAATAAGAATAGTGCATCATATGGAACAGATACTCAACTCAGGTCCCCCTTCCTGCCACCACTGTGCCCATCTGCATGACTTGTACCTGGGCACTGAGTAAGAAAGGATTGCCTTTGGCCAGAGCCTCATGGGTGCAAGTTTGAAAAGAATGAGACCAGCATCTTGCCCCCGTCCTCCTGCATATGCCCAGACCACCCTCTCACTCTTGCCACATCCCCCAGAGGAAGATAGGTTGTCTTGCTGATAGTATATCTTAAAGAAGAAGCATCTTTCCCAAGAACCCAGCAGACCTGGCCTCCAATCTCATGGGCTGAATTTGGCAGCAGGACCACAGTGGCAAGTGGATGGGAGTCACCTTAAATCAGCCAGGGGTGCATAGTATGTGGGTGAGATGGGAACACCTAGCGGGATCCCTCTATGAGCTGCACACCTTACTGGTTGTGCCTGAGCAAACCAGGTTTGCAATTTGTCAGTGCTACTCTCAGGAAACAGTGAAAATGTGTCTGTCACTGCAAGCAGTAAAGCTCTGTCTGTATGGGTTGAGGAGTCTAAGACCTGGAGTTCCCCCTCTGTGGCTTTTAATTCACTCCTTGGCCTTATCTCCATGTTGCTCCTCACTGGCCCCCCACCCTGGATGACCCTCTCATCCTTGACTCCCCCTACCTCTGGCCTGCACAGACCGTCTATCAGTTTGGTCAGAAACGTTGTTCATCATCTTACCCCTCTTGACTGGGAACCTGAAGTGGGATGCCCTTGCTCCTCAAAGTGGGAGGGGACCTGGAGGTATTCTACTAGATGGGAGCCCATGCCTTAGGAGACCAGGATGTTCTAGGACAGGTAGAGGGTAGAGAGTATCTTCCCCACTCCCTCAATTGGGCTAAGTCCAGAACCCCTGCAGCCAGCAGGGGTTGACTGTGAAGGGTGGGATTAACAGAGAGCAAGGTGAGAGGTGAGGAAGGAGGCAGCCTTCTGACTGTGGCTCAGCAGTTACTTCTCCCTTTGAGTTTCCTCATCTATAAAATCAGTGTGAAAATAGTAGATATCCCACAGGCTTGTGAAAAGTTAATTATAATAGCACAGAAGTACCTGGCACATTGGCACACAGGACTCAGCTTCTTGGGGTGTTTCAATAACAAGGGAGAGCTCCTGGGCCGTAGAATGAAGCAGATGGAACCGCCCTGGGGCTTCAGGCTACCTGCTGTGGCATGCCCCACTCCAGCCCTTCAGCCACAGTGCCACTGAGGTAAATCACAGTGGTGTTTCCCTGGAAGGAGTGACATTGAAGTGAAGAAAGGTCACGGTATGATACCATCTTGATGTCACACTACATCTGCTATGGTGCATTATCTCACTCTGGGAGATCAAATAAGCCCTGGCAAACCACAGAGCTGATCTCCTTGGGTACTTCCCTCCACGGTCTATGGTTTGCTTTTGTTGAGGTTTTTTATGCTTGGGTTTTTTGTTTTTTGGGTTTTTTTTTTTTGGGGGGGGGGTTGTAGAACTGTTTTTATCCCCTAAATAGTCCTGCCATAGACTGGCTGCTCTCTGGATATAACCCAGGAAGGAAACAAATCTATATGAAAGTCTACCTGCTGCCAGGAACTCCTCTGAGCCACTATGGAAAGGAAAAATCAGCCGACTGCATACTCCCAAGGAAGGCTCAGAGGACCACTGCCCAGGTGACCAGCGACAGGCCCACGGCAGCCCTGAGCACTCATGCCTGGGGCTGCAGCAGAACATGGATGACCTTGGCTGCAAATGCCTGCTGTCCTGGGGAACAGGCCAACAGCAGGAGCAGAATGTCACCAGTCATGAGGTGGGACTACAGGTGGCTTGAAGCTGACATCACCCCCAAAGGCCCAGTGTGCATCTTCTCTTTTCAGACTAAGAAACCTGAGAGATCATGAGGCTTTAAAACTCAGAAATGCCTTGAGGCTGAGCTTTCTTGCTGTCTGCACAGGACTTCAACTCAGAGACTGGGATGGACAAGAACCCAAAAGGTAGAGGGATTTGTTGGCAAGCCATTATCCTCATGCAGCCTTTGGTCTCATCTCTGCAGATGTTTTTCATAATAAAACAGTGGCTTATAAGCTGCTAAATAGTCCACATTTAAATAAGGATCAGGTTCCATTTTGAAAGCAAATGAAATTTATGCAGCTTCTGCATATTGCTGTGTGCTCACTGCTTCTGTCTTTTGCTATCTTGCTGTTTGTCTATGAACAGTAAACTATCCTCCTAAAGCAGTAACCAGCAGCAAAATCTGAACAAAACCAAGACTCTTTTGCAAACTTCAGGTCTTTGAGTTCCAAGTCCTTTGCCAATTTTTCTGTTTGATTGTTTGTCTTCCATTGATTCATAGGATTTCTTTATCCGTCATTGTTTTTGGCTATGTGGGCAATGCCAGGATGCTTTCCCGCCAGCAGTGTAGGAGGACTCCCTTTTCTCCAGCTCCTCACCAGCACTTGTTGTTTCTGATCTTTCAATGTGGGCCATTTCTCACAGGTGTGTTGTTGATGTGTATTTCTCTAATAATAAGTGGTGAACATTATTTTATATGCCTGATTGTCATCTGTATGTTTTCTTTGAGAAGTGTCTGTTTAGCTCTTCTGTCTGTTTTTTGATTGGGTTATTTGTTTTCTTTTTGTTGAGTTATATGAGCTCTTTGTAGATTTTCAATGTCAGTCCCTTGTCAGATGTATGGCATGCAAATACCTTCTCCCATTCAGCAAAGTGTCTTTTCACTTTAATTAGTTTCTTTTGCTGAGCAGAAGCTTTTTAGTTTGATATAGTCCCAGTTGTTCTCTTTTGTTTATCTTTTTGTCAGGGATGAATCCCTTAAAGACATGACAGAAACTTATGTCATAAAGTGTTGTGCCCATATTTTCTTCTATGTATTTTTTGGTTTCAGGTCTTACTTCCAAGTCTTTTCTCCATTTAGAGTTGATTTTTGTGTATGATGTAAGAGAGTAGTCTTTTCTTTTGCATGTAGCTGCTCAGTTTTCCCAACACCATTTATTGGACAGGCTCTCCTTGTTCCAGTGTATGTTCATGGCCCCTTTGTCATAGATTAATTGTCCATATATGTGTGGATTTACTTCTGGGCTCTCAATGCTATTCCAGTGGTCTGGGTGTCTGTTTTTATTCTGGTTCTTTTTCTTTTTTGTGTGAGAAATGCTTTGGCTATTCAGGGATCTTTTGTGACTCCATATGAATTTCAATAATGTTTATTCCAATTGTTTGAAGAATGCCATTGTTATTGTTATTGGAATTATTTTGTATATGTACATTGCTTTGGGAAGGATGACCACGTTGATAATGTTGATTCTTTCAATCAATAAACAAGGAATATTTTTCCTTTTCTTTGTAATTTCTGTTTCTTTTAACAATGTCTTATAGTTATCTTTGTATAGATTTTTGACCTCCGTTGTTAGTTTACTCCCAGGTATTTGATTTTTTTGGTGTGATTGGAAATGGGATTGCTTTCCTCATTTCTTCCTCTTCTATCACATTGTTTATAGGAAGGCAACTGATATTTGTGTGTTGATTTTATACCCTGACATTTTGCTATATTTGATTGTTTTCAATTAATTTTCCCATGGAGTCTTTAAGGTTCCCTATGCAAATTACCATGTCATCTGTAATAATAGTTTGGATTTACACCTCTTTCCCAATTTGTATTATTTTTATATTTTTCTCTTGTCTAATTGCTGCAGGCAGGACTTTCAAAACTACATTGAATAGTAGTGCTGAGTAGGTATACTTGTCTTATACCAAATCTTATTGGGAAAGTTCTCAGTTTTTCACCACTGAGAATAATATGAGCTGTGGGTTTGTTGTAAATGGCATTTATTTTGTTAAGATATGCTCCACTTACCCAATTTTTTGAGGGTTTTCATCATAAGTGGATGTTGAATCTTATCTAATGCTTTGTCAGCTTCTATTGACAAAATCGTGTGACTTTTATCTTCCTTTTTGTTGATATGATGAATTATGTTGCTATGATATTATTGAGGATTTTTGCCTGTGTATTCATTAAGGAAATTGATCTGTACTTTTCTCTTTTGTGTTATCTTTATTTGGTTTTGTTATTAGAGTAATGTTGAACTCATAAAACGTATTTCCATATGTTCCTTCTGCCTATTTTTTGGAAGAAATTGAGCAGAATAGCTTATTAGTTCACCTTAGAATGTTTGGTAGGTAGCATTCACTTTTAAAGACATCTGGTGTTGGACTTTTGTTCTGTGGGAGAATTTTTATTACTCTTTCAATTTCTTTGCTTGTCATTAGTTTGTTCAGGCTTCTATTTCTTCCCTATTCAGTATCAGATGATTGTATAATTCTAAGAATTTGTCCATATCTTTTAGGTTATTGAATTTTTTAGTGTATAAGTGTTGAGGGTAGTCTAATTATCCCTGAATTTCTTCAGCATCTATTGTAATTCTTCAGCATCTTTCCTTTTTGGTCGTATTCATTTGACATTTCTCCCTTATTTTCTTAGTGAGTCTTGTAGGACATTTGTCAATTTTGTTTATTTTTTCAAAGAACCAGCTCTTGGTTGCATTAATTTTTGGACTGTCTTTTTACTTCTACTCCATTTATTTCTGCCTTGAATTTTATTATTTCTATTATTGTACTGTCTTTTGGATGTGTTTGTTCTTCTTTTTCTAATACCTTCAGGTGAGAGAGAAGGTTGTTTGTTGGCACTCCCTCTGGTTTCTTTATTCTTCTTGTGGGCCTGTATTATGTGCTGCAGTATCTTTTCCTGGGTTGTGGTTTTGTCTGTTTATTTGAGTTATGTTCTGTTGGTGAAAAGAAATCTTTAATGTTAATGGAATGAATGTATTGATTTTTTTATGGTTTGCAATTTTGATGTCTTATTGAGGAAATCAATGCCATAAAGCTACTTTCCTGTATGTTCATTTTAAACTTTTGAAAATTTTGAGCTTATAGCTATGATCAGCTATATTTCTTATAGCTATGATCATCTAGATTTCTGGTGTGTTTCTAATGTTTTGTTCCTAATTTTTGTCTCTATGATCATGAGTAAGACTGGCCCAAGATTGTTCTTTCCCATATGGGCTTTTTCTGGTTTGGGGTTTCAAGGGTATACTGCCCTCATACAATGAGCTGGAATTGTGTCAGTCAGGGTGGCCCCAGTAAACAGGAGCACACTTCCAACAGCAAGGTTTATTTACAGGGGAAATTCATAATGCTCCAGAAGGAAGGGAAACCAGGGTATAAGGCCACTGTCTGCAGCTGACTGGCAGCAGGCAGCCACTCACACTTCCAGATCTGAAGGATGAAGCAAAGATCTAGATGAGCCCAGGGAGCCTTATAACAATGTGGAGAATGTTTATGCTCCCTAAACAAACCAAATAAAAACATATATCTCATGGAAGATCACAGAACAAATACTGTGATCTCATTCCATTCACCTTCTGCCCTCTCCCTCATGCTGGATACCACACTGGCCAAATACAACAGGAAGTCACAGGGCATAGGACCTCCATAAAGGCCAATATATTGCCACAGGGCAGCAGAGAGAAGGGTGTGAAGGGCACTAGGGAACAAAGGGATTAGTACAAAGAGAATTCCCACTGCCATCATTCAATGGAAGAGCTAGAAATTCTTATTTTTCTATTTCTTTAGGGACTAGAAAAGGTCTGCATTTCATGTTCCTTATTAAGACACCATCCCAATACACTTGCTTCTCATTATTCCAGGTAGTTATGATTCATAAAATCACCACGAACACTGAATTCTCAAATGCTAAGCCTTGATCCTAAGGGAAAATACAGGATTCCATATGGGTGTCTGGTCACGACATGTTTGTCAATACATCAATACATAACCTTGTTTTATATGTGTCTCCATTTAAAGACACCTTATTTGACATAAATTGTTAATTCATGAATATTGAACTCACAACCAATAGCTGGAACCCATGCCTGGACAAAGCTTATCTAATACATATTTTCTTCACAGTGCACAGACCAGCTTTCTTGCACTTAGGAACATTGGATGGCACTTCAGCACTATATTTGGATACTACCAAAAACAGTGAAATCACCAACAAAAAATGCAAAAATGCAGAAAACATGTCATTGGCACTGCAAAGGACACTTGTTTATGAATAAGAGCTTAAAAACAAAAATGCAGTGTTGCCTTGGCCAAACTCATATGTGGCAGGTTGCTCAAATTTTTCACCACTATGTTATTGTCCATGTTGATTTGGGGATTACAAGTACATTTTAGCAGATAGTCA